TTAAATGTCTGGGATATGCAACAATAATATAATTTCCCGTCCAAATAGATTTTCTTTTCTTAAATTGTTACATTGCTGGGTTTCATAATTTTGTAACCAAATTCAATTGGTAAACCTATTTTTTAATATTATATTTTTTTTACCTATAGCACAATATATTGCATTTATTTTGCCCTCAAGTTGCTGGTAATATTTATGGAATTTCATATAAATGTATTTTTTTTTTAAATTTTACTAAATTAGATCATAGAACTTAGTATAAGGAATGACAAAGACTTAGATGAATTTAGAATTAAATAATTAAACTACTAAATTATTAATCATTACTTACTAATAAGAAAAATTATCAGGCCCAGACAGGATTTTTTAAAATATATTAATTATTTTTGATTTTTATAGCTAATAATGGCGATTTCATATATTTGGTTTTAAAATATTAAGCCTGGTCTGGATATTTTTTTTAAAAAGAAAATTTCAGGCCTGGCCTGTATATTAAAAAAATTAAAATACGTATCGGCCTGTATATCCGGGCTGGGCTTAGGGCTGGGCCTGCAGGTCTCTAATAAATATATTCTATTTCCGATATTATTTTTTCAGTTTAATTTTTTTTTTATATAAATAAATTGTATATTTTTTCAAATAATTGATTATAATTCAAATATCCTACCTTTTTTATATTAAATAAATGCGTTCAGTAAATAAATAAAGCCTTTATGAATGAACTTATTATATAACTAGTTATTTTAAAAATATAATTGTAACTAATAACTAGTTACATTTGTAAAAATGTAACTAGTTATATCTAAAGTAACTTTTAACAACACTACGATATTGCTCCAATCTTCCCTGTTAAGCATAATAGGTTATTTAGGAATCTGCATCCAAAATTTGTCCTGACTTCTATCCCGAATTTTATTTATTTTTTCCCGAATAGCCCGACCCGAAATAAAAAATAAAAAATATTTTTCATGCCCGGCCTGGCCCGGCCCAGCTTTAATTTATTTAAATATATAAAAATTTAATTTTTTTTGACTGTAAAGGAAATATTTTACAAATGATGAAATATATTAGCACCTTGTTTCTTGAAGTAACTGTTATGTGGGTCGTTTTTTTTTAAATTGTGGAGTCATTTTTTTGTGTTAAATTGCAATGTCATTCTTTTTTGAGGATGAATATTTTTTTTGAATATTTTGCGCAATCATTTTTATAAAATATTATTATTTAAAAAGCATTTATAAAAATAATTTATTTTATATCAATATATAGTTGTCTTCCAATTTTTTTTAAAAAAATTATATTTTATTGAGAAATTTTAGACGGCTAATATTTAGAATAAGGTAAAAACCAATATTTTAATAAATATTCTTTTTGATAAAAAATTTAATATTTTGATAAAAATTTATAGTAACAATTTATTTGACATAATGTAATGATATCATATTTAAAAATTTAAACCCGATCCGGCACAACCCTTCTTAAAATTAAGAAATCAAAATATATTTTTCTATTTATTAAAATTTCAGAAAATCTAGATTAGATTCTTTAGAAAGTGGTTGTTTTCTATTTTATTAAATTTGAAAACTATTCTAATCTAAAAAAAATGGTAATAATTTATATTAAAATAAAGATAAACTTTTAATTTCAGTAAACAGGGTTAGCCCAATATTTTCCCCAAAAAATATTATCTGACCCGGAGATTTTGCTCATTCGTGATAGATAGATTTGGACATTTATTATCTAAATCTCGAGGCTTGTGTATTATTATTTTGGCTAAAAACTTTAATTGAAATCAGATAAATCGGGCTATCAGTATTTCAAAATATAAACAAATCCGGGCCAGGCTTAAAAATGCATAATCCAGATCTGGCTCAAAATTTTTACATCTGCAGGTCTGATATTTATCATAAGTTAAATTAAAACAATATTAATTTTAAGGTTATAAAAAAAAAGAGATTTTATTCTTCCTATGACAAATGACTGGAAAAGCAAAAATCCACAATAATGTTTGTAAAGCTCGTTTTACTCTAAAAATATTTCGGTCCATTCTGATTAAATGAAATGCGATAGCAAGGCAATATATATTAGTATCACGTTTAAACAGGGTTCTAATCCGGACTTAAACTGGTTAATACTTATTATTTACCGCGTCCAAATCAAATCTAATGTTAACAATTTTATGACCTGAATAACCTCTAAAAAGGTCGATAAACTCAATATATCCTAACTGTTTTAAAGATAACTATTAGTCAATTTGATTTGTCGGTCTGTATTAATCACCATTTTTGAATAAATATTTATATTTAATAATTTTTTATAATTTATATTCAAAAAAAATAATATATATTTAGTCGTAAATTTTTAAAAAAATCTATTTCTTCATAGACATTTTATACGAATGGAATCGACCCAGCTTTTACAGATTCAAATCTAAGGTTATTAAAAAGCCTGATTTGGATCCATTTGGAGTCGAACCCTGAACCATCGGATTGGCAAGCGACGCTCTTGTCGACTAGGCTACACACGATTTTCGAAAATCACGATTTTCAAATATATATTATAAATAAATTTGGCAGTGCCTATCCAAATTAATAATAAACAAAATACAAATTTGATAGGCACTATCTTAGATCTATCATAAACTATAATTTATCTTTAAAAAAAGTTAATTTCTTCGAATTTAATATTAACCTTTAAAACATCTTCAAAACATGCTCCTTTTCCGGGAAGTGGGGGGGGGGGCAAATATTTCTTGCGTGTTTAGGATCAGAATCTGCAAATTTTGTTTGGATTCCCTCAGATATTTTATATTTCGATCACTTTTCGTCAATTTTTAAAGGTGAATACTCAGATTAAAATAGACTAATTCTATCCCCTGTTATATAATAAAAATTTTATGGATATAGAACGAATTGAAGAAAAAGATAAATATTTTAAATAGTCAATATTTTTAAATTAGATAACATGGGTCCTTATAAAGAATAAGGAAAATTTTTTAGTTAGTATTTTGTAAAATGTGCGTATAGAATAAATATAATAATTAGTAGAAAATCCAAATTCTTTTTTTTTTTACATTTATAATATTGATATCGTAGTATACTGTAGAATTCATTTTAATAATTTTCAGCTGACGATTTATTACATTTTCGGCATATATAATTATATGTTACATTTTCAATTGATTTATCTAAATATGGCTCAACATTCACTTTCATTTCAATAACATCTACCCTCCGGGATGTGTAATTTTAATATCTATTCAAATCAGATAAAACTTCAAAAAATGATGAAAACTAAATGTGCAAACGGAATTCAAAAATAGAATGAATAATTAAATGCCAGGAAGTATTGGGTATTAATTAATTTAAACTTTATGAAATCGAGTTTCTAGGATCGGACAGAAATGACAGAACTGGGCCGATAAGCCGGATGATCGGTTGCTTGAAATTAATTATTCTCAGTTCGATACCGGATATAATATTAACTATCTTCATATAATGTTACGCTGCCTTTATAGTAAACGGGTTTCCAGAGTTGCGTTATTTAATGCAATGTTATTACAGCTGATTCATTTTTAAAAACTAATTTAAGATAAATTTAAAATAGAGATAATTATTTTATATATTTAAGAAAAATCATATATTTTTTTATCAAATTCGCTATTATATTTAGAATAGGATCGCATATTTTTCCTTAACGTATCGTAACATATGCTTTTCAATTTTTATAATAGCATTATAATCATGCTCCATATTTATAAATTTATACTTATTTATGGACAATTTTGTAATAAGATTACGTTAAATAACGCAGCACTTGAATAAAACGCGTTTACTAAAAATTCGGCCTTCTGGTCAACGTTTTTTTTTATTAGTGTGTTATTTTTTCAGCGCTTTATATCATCTTCTGAGAATATTTTTAAATTTAAAAATCTGAATTTACCGAAAATTATTTTAGCATGTTTAGGACACAATGGCATTGGGTCAGTTATTAAAAATGGCCTGAGTAATATTTTAACCAAAATAATATTATAAAAGCCTCTAGATTTGGCAAATAGAAGTCCTGACCTTTCTGTCATCTGTGAGCAAAATCCCCAGGCTTATATAATATTATTTTGGATATCCTATCCATCCAAATAGTTTTGCGCTTAACTTTTTATTCATTTATAATTTATAAAACAAAAATGTAAGGAAAAACTAATGTATATTATATTAAGATCCAAATATTCATGACAAAATTTTCTAAAAATAAAGAGTAGGTTTCTAAAGATGCTGGAACACATTTTTAGTAAAATCAGATTTTGAAAATTTTTTTTAAAAAAGTGCTCAAAAAAATAATTCAAGTTTCTAAAAAAACACAACACATTGACCCTAACATATAGAAATAAACTCCTAATTCATAACTGCATTTTAATGAGATAAGGCAGGTCAGGCTTAATTTTTGGTTGGTAAACCAGAATAAACCCAAAATGTTAGGCTGCGTCTTGATACGAAAATCAAATTCATATCAAATTCTTAAATTCGAGTTCAATATATAAGGAAATTTATGACTATTTTATTTCTATATACTCATAAAGTTATAAAAATTGTAAAAGTTTGGGAAAAAATTAAGTGGAGTATAACCCCTCACCCTACCGACAAAGAAGTTCTTAAAGTCTCTGTATTACTAAAATTCTCGTGCTTTCCCGCCTTTTGGGGTGTTTTTTGCCCCTATGAATATTTTTATATGACAATTCAAAACCAGATTTTGGGATGCAGCATTAGACTGGAAGTTCTTCCCATCTCTCAGCGTTTAATATTAAATTCGTTTCAGCAACAAAAAGTAACTTCAAAAAATAAGCATGTAAATAAAAAAAATAGCTTGCTTTTCTCGAAGTCTATTATTATAAAAATTAAGCCTTCATTCATATCGAAAATTTGAATATATTTTTATATAGGTCGTGACAAGATAGCCTGCCAAAATTTTTTATTTGTTTAAATAATTATTTGTTTATTAATAAATTATTTGAAGGTGCATTTTTTTGGAACATGTTTGCAAAAATATTGAATACTCTAAATAACACCTGCTTGCGGAATGTTACTACTGTAGTAGATCATCATTGTATACGAAAAATTATATTAGATTTCCCTAAAAATAAGTATAAATAATATTATTGTAATTTATAATTAATATAAAATAAAAAGAAATTCTTTATCATTGGATATGCTAAACTCCTTAATATCCGATACGCAAAATGCCGCACTTAATACAAATATCAAAGTTATAATAATGTCATCATCGCAACCCAATATATTTTCCTCTGGCCATGATCTCAAACAATTTCAAAAGGTTTTTTTTTTCACTTATGGTTGGCAAATTTATAGTTTTTAAATATTAAAATTAGAATAAAAATGATAATGATTTACAGTTGCAAAAGGAAATTCTAGAGAAATTGGTTCGCCTGATTAATATTATCCAAAACCTGCCTATACCGGTTATTGCTGAAATTAAAGGTGATTTTTTTTTTAAAAACTAATGTTAAAATTAATTTAATTGATATTGTATTATCATTTTTGATTGCTAATTTTTCTCACTTTGGAGCTTTTATTTGTTTTATAATTTATTATATATGTCGTATTGGGATATGGGAAAATTTCAGCCAATTTCCGCCATTAAATTAAGAGTAGTTCTAAAGTTCGTGGCAAAATTATTGGAAATTTACAGTTTGGGGTACTCTATAAATACCGAAATGCAATTCAAATCAAATTTTTAAAATTTAAAAATCGCCCTTAGTAAATGTTTCAGAATCGAGAGATTTCGAATCCTCGTGGATTCTGTATCTCGATACGACATATAAAAAATTATTCTATGAAACTTTAATAGAAAAATATTTACTATAAGAAAAAGGCATATATTAACTGGATTCTTTGATTATATTATTTAAATTTTATTAGCCTTTTATTATTAAAGATAAAATTTTCCATATTAAAAAAAAATATATAAATAAATTAATAAACCAGATTTTAAAATCTAGAAAGAGGCCATGAATTTTTAACCTCATTATTTTGAATGGGTAAGATGTACGCTTGGAAACACGAGTATGAACATGGACGCAGGTTCAATCCTGGTAAGAACCATAAAAACTTTCAAGTTTTTCTTCGATGACTGATGTGTAAAGACATATGGTATGATGAATTTCGGAGCTTAGAGATGACACCCCGGTCACCGACAGGCCTGGACAGCCGGGTGCTAAGGATACCGTCCAATAAACAAAATGAAGAAAACAAATGGAAATATGAATATGAAAGATAGGGCGTTCCCCTCCAAGCGACGCGCAGGGTGTAGACATCCATCCTGTGAAAAGTAAAGTAAAGGTCAAAGCAAAGAAAACAAGATTAGCAAGTTTGAATATTGGGACGCTTAAAGGTAAGACGAGAGAATTGGCATCAATGTTGAACAAGAGAAAAGTTGATATAGCGTGCATACAAGAGACGAAATGGAAAGGATAGAAGACTTTGATGATTGGAGATGGGTATAAATTGTATAATGGACTTGTTAGCAATAGGAACTGTGTCGGCATCATTCTCAGTCAAGATCTAACCTCCTCAGTTGTAGAAGTCAGGATCTCTGATAGACTAATGAAGATAAAACTCTGCATTGGTCAATCAATACTACACATCAGTGGCGTAGCTAGGAACTTTCCTTAGAGGGGGTCCAAACATATAAAAGCCTGGGGGGCAAATCCCCCCAGACCCCCTTTAACGGGCCTTCGGCCCTTTTGCCCGGCCTTCGGCCGGATTTATCTTACAAATCATAACCATATCTTCGATAATATATAATAAATATATTTTTTAAATGCTTCAATAATTCGTTATTATGATTTAGTAGATTATTCCTAATGACTTTATACTAATACTATCCAGAATAATTTCACTAGTAATATAATATCCTTACACAAACATCAAAACCCGTATAAATATTAATGTTATTTATTTGATATAAAGTCACCACTTTTAAGTCTTTTAAACGTATAATCTAAAAATAAATTTTTGCTCTGGGAGGGGTCCAAACCCGAAAACCACCCCCGTAGCTACGCCACTGCTACACATCCTTTCATTATATGCTCCTCAAACGGGTTGCAAGGAAGAAGAGAAAGATGATTTTAGAGCTATCCTCGATGAAGCTGTAATGGAAATCCCTAAGGATGACCTAGTCATAATTGGTGGTGACTTAAATGCGCATGTGGGGAAAGCAAGAGATAGCTACAAAAGGCATCATGGTGGTTATGGATATGGAGAAAGAAATGATGAAGGAGAGCATATACTGAAATTTGCGCAAGCCTTCGACCTTGCCTTAACCAACACCTAAGGATAGTCATTTAATAACATACGAAAGTGGTACAAGGAAAACACAGATAGATTACATACTAATCTCTCGCAAAAGATTAAAAGATGTAATAGGCTGCAAAGTCATCCCAGGAGAAGATATCGCCGCACAACACAAGCTACTAGTCATGGATTTACACATCTCAAATAAATCCACTCAAAACAAGATAAAACTGGAACCATGCATCAAATGGGGCAAATTAAAAACAATGACAGATGCCTTTGCAATCAATGCAAACATTGAAACAATAGATTCCTCACAAGTCAGTGAAAAAATGTGGACAGACCTTTCATCCAGATTAATAGACACTGCCAAATCATACACTAGGCTTGACAAGAGGGGGCAACAAATCATACAAAGAACTATGGTGGTGGAATGAAGAGGTACGAACCACTATACAGGAGAAAAAAGCCCTTTATAAAATATGGTAATCCAAAAACGCAGATGACAAGACAAGATACAAAAAATCCAAGAGATTAGCTACAAAGGCGGTGGCTAGAGCCAAATCTATGGCATACGATGACATGTACGAAGATCTACATACCAAAGAAGGGCAAAATAAAATATACAGATTAGCCAAACAGCGAGAAAAGAACTCTAGGGATATAAACGGAGTTCCGAAAGTAATCAAAAATAAAGATGGGAAATTGATAATAAAGGAAAAAGAAATAATGAGTAGATGGAGAGAATATTTTCAGGAGCTTCTCAACTTTAATCCGCACATACTGCATCTAGACGAACACTCCCCTTGTCAAACCTTGTACAACCTATAAATCAACAAGAAATAATCACATGCCTCAAGCATATGAAAAACAACAAAGCTAGGGATCCAGACGATATTCCAATAGAAAGCCTTAAAGCACTAGGAGATAATGGAATACATCTCCTCACAAATCTATACAATAAGATACTTGGAAATGAAGAGGTTCCCTAAAAATGGAGGCAGAGCTATCTAGTTCCTATCTTCAAAAATAAAGGGGATCCACATAATTGTCAAAATTACAGGGGCATAAAACTAATGTCACACTGTCTAAAACTTTACGAAAAAATAATAGAAAAAAGATTAAGAGATATAATCGAAATAGGAGAGACTCAGTTTGGCTTTATGCCTGGAAGATCAACAACCGATGCTATCCATGCAATTAAGCAAATGAGTGAAAAATACAGGGAAAAGAACAAAAAGCTACACATGGTCTTTCTCGATTTAGAAAAGGCCTTTGATAGAATCCCAAGAAAACTTATCTGGTGGGCGCTACGCCACAAAAATGTTCCCGAAAAATATATAAGAATAATACAGGATATGTATATGGGCCATACAACAATGGTCCGTTGCACAACAGGTATTTCAGCAGGCTTCACAATAGCCGAAGGAGTTCATCAAGGGTCGGCTCTCAGTCCACTTCTCTTTATTACAGTAATAGATGTATTAGCACAGTCTATACCTCAAACAGTCCCGTGGAATATGATATTTGCAGATGATATTGTGATACTTGCCGAATTTAAGGATGAAATGAAAGAAAGACTAGTGTGTTGGTTAAATATCCTAGAAATGCACGGATTAAAAGTAAATAGAGAAAAGACGGAGTATATGGTGATAGGAGGAGATGAAATAGAGAGTATTGATACAAATGAATGGCAGATATCGGCAATTGAAAGCTGCAAATATTTGGGCTCCACTATACAAACAAACGGCACAATAGAAAAAGAGATAAAGAGTAAGATTAATCAAGGGTGGCTAAAGTGGAGATCTTTATCTGGAGTGCTATTTGATAAAAGAATCCCACACAAATTAAAGGGAAAAATTTACAGTTCCATAATACAACCAACTATTCTATATAGTTCGGAAACATGGCCAACCAAAGAATCAGACGAGAGAAGTCTACAAACCATGGAGATGAGAATGCTGAGGATGATTGCTGGGGTAACAAGAAAGGATAAAGTGCGCAGTACAAGAATACTAAATAGTTTAAAGGTAGTGCCCATCAAGACTAAGTTAATGGTACACAGACTTAGGTGGTATGGGCACACAATGAGAAGGCCTATGAACTACATAGGAAATAAAGTTAAGAGTTTGGAAGTGATGGGCAAACGTAAAAGAGGAAGGCCAAAACTTCAATGGGGCCATAAAATTAGAGCCAATATAAAGAAGTATAAATTAGATAAAAGAGATTGTATTAATAACATAAAGTGGAGAGAGATGTTGAAGGAGCTTACCACCAGAAAAGGTGAAAGCTAAAGAGAGAAAAAAAAAATTATTTTGAAGAATTATTTTTTCAGGGAACAACATAAATAGATTAATAAAAAAAATTTATATTAGAATATAATAGAAAATTTCTTTAAAGGATCAAATATACTGGATTCAATCCATAAGAATTTTTTTTTGGCTAAAACATAATGAAAAATCAATATTTTAAAAAAATATATTATAAAGATTACTAAAAAAAAGTTTTTTTTTAAAAAAAATCTGGATTCCGCAGGAATTTTTAATTTCTCGCGTTTTTTTAATATTTATTAAAACAAAATCACATTTTCACGATTTGACGAAGACATAAGCTCATTAAAAAAAGAATATTCGATTTATACGGATCTGGTATTGAGATTGTAATACTGTTTTCATGGAAAAGATCTGCCTGCTGATTCGACACTCGTTTTAACAAGCCTATAATTATAAGATATCTAGACTAAAAATTCTGCAAAGACAGATGATTATTTAAAACAAGGTCTGCCAAAGTTTGGGGGTGGCTATGAATAAATGTTAATTGATATGGTTTTGTTTTGTACCTTGTAAATCATCCAAGAGAAGGTCTCTCTATCAAGTGTATACCAGAATCTGGTGAGATTTGAGAAGCTGATTTTCAAAAAGTTTTGTTTTGTGTACAATCGTATACGTGTGGTTTGAGAGATAATAAAATAATAATGGCGAGAGATTTGTATTTATTTGAGTTAGTAATCTAGTTTTCGGGCTTGAAATGATAATCGTTCGAAATTTTCAGTAGTATCCTCTTTTTTTAAAAAAAACTTATATTAAAAAATTCAAATAACGAAATCACTTTCGAAATATATCTAATTAAAAATTACAAATTATTTGAATTATTTTTTTAAAAAAAAGGCCACGCAGCTGCTGCAGGTTGTCAATTAGCATGTTCGTGCGATATAATCACAGCATCCGAAAAAGCTCTTTTTTCCACTCCTGGCATCAAACAAGGTTCATATATCAAAAAATTATGTTAATAATCCTCAATAAAAGGTATATTCTGTTCAACACCGGGAGTAGCCATAATTAAATCATCTTTACCTCTCAAAATAGCTACAAAGATGTTATTCACTGGCGATCCTATAACTGCTCAAGGTTTGTGTCTAATTTTTTTAAAAAAATTTCAAATTAGAGAAAATGAATTGAACAATATAAATTCTCAAAGGCACTTTAAATTTAAATTAATATAGATTATGATTTATTAACATAGTTATTTTAACATGATATAAAAAAAACATAAAAATTAATTCTTAATATATTAGTAAAACCAAAAGAAATATTTTTATGGTAAAACCACAAAAAATAATAATATGGATAATAATCTTTTTTTTTATAAATAAAAAAGTCTGAAATGTTGAATAGTTAATTAACAATGCATAATCAATTTAGAGGTTATTTACAATAATATAATTGAATATTACATTTTGCATAAATAATGAAATTTATTTAGTGTTAAAAATAAATATGAATTGTGCACAAATTGAGCGCTTGCGTTTTGCCGAAAACTTTAATAAATAAAAAGATAAGGCGTCCCTTGTTTAAATTGATGTTGCCTTTTTATTAATATCTATCGCCGAGTCAAATTTTTTTTTTACAAAGTAAAAATTAAAAAGAATTGGTAATTGTAAATCATATTATCGTCTGCACTTTTATTTCATATCAATTTTCCATTTATAAAAATAAATAAACATTTTATATAATATTGCAAAATGAAGAATAAAAATGTAATGAAAATAGGAAACTTGTTGCGTTTTTTAAAATGGTTTCTAACGCCAAGCGATGATTTGAATTTACACGATACCATTTGAAATGCGTTATTTGCGATTTTAACGCTAAATTTGTTCTAATCATGAAATACTATAATTTTATACATTTTGATGAAGAGGTTTCTTTTTCTCAGTCAATTATTTATTTTATAAATATAAATATTAGTCATCGAGCCTAATTTCCCAATCATATTAAAATGAAAAAATAAGCTTAAAAATTAATACAACGGAGAAAACCCCATAAAATAGGGTGATTATTTTTAGGATTTTTGTTAATTAAAAAATTTTAAGGATAATTGATAAATTATTTGTTCTTTTACCAAAAATTTTTAAAACCTTAATAGTTTTTCCCAGAACTACGCTGTTTTAAGTTATTACATGATGTTGCCTTTTTGGTAACACCTCATTCACAGACCGCGAATTCGTAGTTAAGTATATAAATATACAGCATATTTTGTTCACTTATATGTATTCGTGCATATTTTATATGGCGTAGTATATAAAAATACAGCACGTTTTGTACACTTGGCTATGAATTCATACATATTTTATATTCTTCGCCACAAGTTCACGCAAACTGTAAATTCAGGATAAGAACTTTAACCAATAGCAACTTTTATACACTTTCAGGTACCGAAAAATATAATACATCTATCCCAATCAATAGTCATTATGTTAGCCCCCAGTCATTGTTATAAAAGATGCTCCATATTAACTTTAACAGAATGTTTAACCCACTTTGATAATTTTTTACCCATATTTTAACTTAACCCTTTTCTAGAGAGTTTTAAACGCTGCTTAAAATAAATGAACAGAACACGTCGTTTAAAACAATCCTAAAACATTTCTCAATCATAAAATAGAAAAACTTTTGTACACTTCATATAGACAAAATTTTTTGCAGAAGCTTATCAATTCGGATTGGTTTCTCAAGTCTTTCCTGAACATTTGTTAGAAGATGGCACTGTAGAGTTAGCCAATAAAATAGCAAAAAATAGCAAAGAGGTTCTATCTTTGGGTAAACAGTGTTTATACCAACAAATCAATCTGGACAAGTAAACATTTTTTTTAAATATAATATATTCTTAATGTAATAATATGCAAAAAATAATTATGCAATTTTATTAGGCTAACATTATTCTAAATATAATATTTATCATGTATTATGCAGAAAAGAGATCGGCTATAGATATTATCAGACATATATTAAGTATCATAGGCGTAGCTAGGATTTTGGTAAGGGATAGAAGCACTCTAGTATGCTTTCCCCATAAATAAAGAATAAAAATATACTTTATTTCTAAAAATTTTGAATTATAATCGTTATTTTAAAAAGTTATCATTTTTTTTTTCAAATTCTTACTGGTTATTAACTTAAAATGATATTTGTGGGAACAGGCAAATTTTTGAAGGGGAGACTTCTCCTTACCCCCCCCCCCTGGCAACGCCTGTAATAAAAATATTGTAAATTATAAGTGATATTATTTTAATTTTGTTATGAATTTACATTTTTTTTAAATATATTATTTTTAACCAAGTACATTACAATTTACATCATTTCGTCCCATCAAAATAAATAGCTAAGAGTGGAAAAAAGTTCTACAGATAGATATAACGCTTTTTCGATTAAATATTTATATAAGTATATTTGTTTATATTTTTTATCAGGGAAAAAGCTTATCAAGTAGCCATCGATGCAATGTTGGAAAATATAAAATTGGATGATGCCCAAGAAGGAATCAAAGCATTTTTAGAAAAAAGAACTCCTATATGGGTTAAAGCTAAAATGAATAAATAAATAAAAAATATCATAATGGAAAAATAATAAAATTTATGTTATTTATATAAATAAATTGATCAAATATTTTGTAGTTTTTTAAATTTTTGGATATTTATTGTTTAATTAGTTTTATATGTTTTTGCTATATAACATTGTAAATTAAATTATACAACATAAATTAAATTATTTAATTCGTATGAAGGGGAATTATTATATTAAATTAATGGATTTGTTGGTTGGAGGATTATTGATATATAATGTGAGCGAATATTTAGATTTTTTCATCCAGTCCAAAAATAACTTGCTATATTTAAAAGATGTTTAAATAAAATTTGCACTATTTATTTTAAAATCTCAAAAGTGTTTTTTCAATATTCATCTACTGCCCAGAATCTTTTATCGTATTCGGTCTAAAAAATTTTCCACGGGCGGTAAAAAATTTGACATGATTTATATTATTTTTAAAAATTTACTTTTCCCCACGTAATTAAGAAAATTTGCAATTTCAATACTCAAATAGGTTTTTTTTATAAATAATGCAAAAAAAATTTTATCCGGTCCAAATCAATTTTTAAAAATGTTTTACATTTTTGAAGAGCTATTAGCACAACTTTAGATATTTTTTAAAAGTGTATTTATACCCCTTTTTATGCCCTCTATTAGTAACTAAATTTTTGCTGACCCATCACCTGGCATCATCTATTCCAAGTTATTTTGAGTACTGTCCCACTGGCGTCTACATGAGAGGGATAGAGAGTCGGAGTCATTTACCTCCAATTTTTATAGGTAGTCTAAGAAGCATAAGTTAGAGGTTAGAGTAATGTTAAAATAAATATTATTTACAGAATAATGGCGAAATAATCGGGAAAAGAGATTCTAATTTATTAATGTTTATTTTTTTTAATTTTTTTTAATAGATTATGATACGCATTCCTAAAATTTTATTTATTATTTTTGCTGAATGGAGGTTGTTGATGTATCATGTTTTCAATAAAAACAAAAATAAATAATAATATCGGGTACAGGAATAAAATTTGAAAGGACCCGGTTCCAGGGTTCGGGTCCGGATTCAGGAACATAAAATAAATATTTTTTTTAAATTCATTTATTATTATACTTCAATATATACATATTCATAATTTACAGATGAAAAATTTAAAAATGAAATAATTTATATTTTAAATGATTTATTCTCGCACAATCATAATATCTTCTAAAATATATCCTTCAGATTTCCACGAAAGTATACAATATATATAATGAAAACTCACGTTCTACCCTTACTTCTGAGAACTTTACTACTAAAGATGCAATAGGCATTTTTTGATCCTCCTTTTTAACTGATGATAATTTGATTTTTTTTTCTCTATCTAAAAGTAAAATTGCAAGATCATCAATATTGCTATCATTATTATTATTATCACTACAACCAATAGGTATCGTCGTAGCCTCCAATATATTGCAAATAATAGAGTTTTGCTTATGCCATAAATCCTTAAGATGGTCTTTAGCCATTTGTTTTTGCTCAATACTCAATGAAACTTGATATCGTGGGTCTAAATATATAAGCGTATACAACACTATTTTGGAAATATTGTTGCTCTCGAATTTTCATGTTTTCTAATATTTCGTATAAAAAGGACTGTAAATTTTTCTAAATCTAATTGGCATCTAATCCATATGCCTTAAAATCAAATAAACATAATTGTTCTGATTGTAATCTTAATATTGTTATTTTTAAAGGAACTAATACACAAGTAAGGTCCTTTATTTGGCACCAATCATCTTCTGACAAAATGACTTCACATGCTCCTATAATAAAATCATTACAGAAATCTTTCAAACTTAAAAATCGTTCTAGCATAATACAAATTGAGGACCAACGTGTTGTGAGTGAATAATCATTTAAATTAAAATATTATTAATTGTACTACAAAATAATTCACTTTCAAAATAATCAACGTATTTCTATAACACAGCATAATAAATTTACATAATAAAATATTATTACACTGGAAAATAATTTATGATATCAATCTCTAAATAAAATGTAAGTCCAGGAAGATAGATGGAAGTAATATGGAATAAAAACGCGAAGTTAAAATAAATGATTCCACAAAAAAGTTAATAAAATTTTAAAAAATATTTTTATTTTTAAAAATTTTTATGACACCTAGAACCCTTGGACCCTCCACTTTTAAAAAGGGTCCTAGTCCGAGTTCGGGTTCAGCCAAAATACGAGGTTCAGGAGGGTTCGGGTTAACATCACTGCATTAACTTAATAGTTTTGTTTTATTAACACCAACTTAAAATGATAGTGATTGTTTTTTTATTATAAAGGAGGATGAATTGGAGAAAGAAAAAAGATGTAATTCATATTTTAACTTACGGGGATTATTGTATACATATTAAAATGTGATGCTAAATATAAAACGTAATTATTATATATATCAAATAGTGATGCGAAACATGATTATGATGAATTCAATAAAGACATCTATATACACAACTTATTCTCACTAATTCTTCATAGAGACCAAGCTATGTGAGCTATTTCAAAATTTGATATTGATTTCGTACTTTATATGCATTCTCTATAACCCTTTTATCTGAATATAATTCTTTATCGAAGGATGCCTCGAACAACCCCACCTATATGGCCGAATTCGTCCAGCTGGATTTCCCTAAATTTAGGCGACATCAGCGCTTATATAAGAAAATTGCAAAAATTTTTCGACACGAGCAAGATCTCCAACGGGGAGAAGGCCGAGTTATTTCTTCGAAGACTCCGGATGACGAATTTAACAACATTGGAGCAATCTGTAGGGAGGCAGACCTAGAGGACCCAATAGCTCTTCTCGGCAAATTCAAGCTTCAACATCCCTCGAAGACCGAGAATGCCAAACTCTCCATATTTTATATTGCCACCCAAGGCAAGGAGGAGACTTTTCAGCATATGTTACACGCGTAGCTAGACTCGACAAAAAATGCAAATTTGATGGCATTCTGCGCAATATCGAGAAGGTGAGAGTTGCTTCGATTTCCAAAGATGTCAGGAGAGCGGTCAGGATCTCTATGACGATATAAGATATTTACAATCTAGGTCTATAAGAAGACATCAGAGAGCCAAGTGACATCATAGAGTGATGAAAGTAAAAGCCATTAGAGATTAATCACATGGGCAGAGCCAAAAATAGCCATGTAACCATAAAACTCATTCAGCTAATGCACATGGTAAATCTCTCGTAAAATATGATGCTTTCATTAAGCAACCCCAGCTCATATATGACAACCGCCACGGACAACATTTCGATGAACGTTACGATGTACGTTACGACAGCTGCCGCGACAAACGATTCGATGAACGTTACGAGATACGCTACGACAACTACTGCGACAATCGCTACGATCAACGCTATGATAAGCGACAGGATAATCGCAACCCTTTCGATAATCGCTACGACGATCGATACAACAATCCGGGTACTTCCATGACAACCTCCGCGACTATCGTTGTGACCATCGTCAAAGCCTTGATCAATGTGATGATTGCTATAGAGGCGATAACCGAACCAACTGTCCACGTCGCGGTCAGCTTAGACATAGTCCATATCCTAATAATGGTTTTCCGAAATATTTGTCGAGGCCCAAACATTAATTATATCAACAGATCTTATGATTATAAAGATCGTGATTGTCAATCAAACACCAACTATACTATGAGCATCGAAGAAATCGATGATGAGGACATCACAGTAAATTCAATGCTAATGGGAATTTTTATTACAATATGCAGATTTGAAGAAAAATATTAATCAAGTTAAATTAGCATTAATGGGTCAGGTGAAATTTTAATTAAATTATAGTGTGCAGATTTGAAGTAAATTATATATATGCATTTTAGATATCAATTAGAAAGACACATCTAATGGTGTTTTAAATTTTTCACTTGTTTTTATTTTAGATAACAGGCTCTATCTTAGCTGTGATGACCGTCTCATTTATTTTTGCAAATTAATATCAATTTTATTCTGTTTTAAATAAGATCGATTATGATCTTTATTTTTTTTATATAAATAAATATTTATTATTGTTTTTCCTTAATGTCATTAATAATTTATTTATTATTTTTTTTGCATGTATTCGAAAATAGAAAATTAAAATCATTATTTTTTTTTGGTAGAATAATGAAAAAATATAATTATTATTCAAAATTAAGGGAAAATATTATTATTCAAAAATAAAGAAAAGGTCATTATGTGAGATAAAAAAAGGGGTTATTTATAAAAATAAATAAGATCTTGTACTACTAAGAACCGGTACTAGAAAATTAGCCTCCATTAATGATTATATAGATGCTGATTTTTCTGTCCTTAATAAAAAAAAAGATGGCAGGTAAATCAATCAAAATAAAGTTAGACATCTATATATATTTATTATATATATATATATATATATATATATCATAAATGGTCTTCTTATACTTTTTTACATTTTTGATTACATCTATTTTAGCTACTGATGATATTCCCACTATTTCTAGCGAGTTGAACTTAATATTGACTATTTTGCAGATTCAATGCATTATAAATTTTTAATTTTTTCTTTTGTTTTTATTTTAGAAAACAGACCCTAATCTTCACCACTCTTGATGATTTTACAAATGTAATCAACAAAATAAACATTCCTGAGATCACAAAACAACAAAATCTACCATCCATATAAAACAAAGTTAGTCATATAAAAATGCATAAATGTTTATGCGTACAAAATATTTTTAAATATATTTTTCTTATACTTTCTTGCATTCATTTTATATTACATCTATTTTAGCTTTACAAACATTTGATAATATTCCCTATATTGCTAGAGTGTTGAACCTAATTCTGACTTCTTTTCCGATTTAGTGCATTATTTTATAAAAAATAAATATTTATTTTAGATAATTAGCCCATCTTATTTCCTCTTTATAATAATATATCTGTCATTAATAAATAATGAACAAATATAAAATAAACTTTCAGTAGATCATGATAGCCATGATAAGTCCTCAACTAGATAAAATATTTTTTTGATGTAGCCTCCCAACTACTAGTGATATGCATTTAATAATGTCCCCTCTAGAGATGATTCAATACCAATTTTTCCCTGACTACACTCTCCCACCTCTGCCGAAGGCCTGGTCAGGAGATCCTTTGCTAATATATATAATAATGGACCTTCATTTAATAAGGAACTGCACCTGATATTAAATCCTTTGCAAGTTTAGTTTATTATTTTATTTAATTTTCTAGGCTAACCCTGCCTTAATTCCTCATAAGCTCAAAATCATGATTAATCTATCATAGAAAAACTAAGAGAATAATGACGCGTTAATAAACATCTTTACCTTTCTATACATATTGGTAGCCTATCTATTCACAAAGATTCTATCTTTTTTAAAGTTTACCAATTATTTTCCGGGAACAATATTCCTTTTTATTCATGCTGATTATTTTGTAAAATTCACTAATAAATTATATATGGTCACTATTTTTATTATTTAAGGATCGAAATAATACAGTAAAATAATTTTATTAAAAGATCCTACCCCTTTTTAAAGTTAACCATTTTGACGTTTCTAGCATTATTCTCTTGCATTTCTAATAATTATTTTATATGACTCAATATAAAATAACGATTGGTTTTATGATTTTATTATTTATATAAAATTTTATATCTATTTCAAAATGAAGATACATATTACGACAATTAATTATTTAAATAAGATTCTATTTATAGGTATCCTACCTTTTTAATGTTTCCAGTTAGTTTTCCGGAACAATATTCCCCCTTTTCAAAATTATATTGGATACGACTGGGCTTGGAACCTCAAAATTAATATTAGCTTGCACCTGACTTGGGAATATCTTTTAAAATTATTAAGAGTTGAGCTGGGCTTGATAAACATTTTTATAATTATAAGATTTTGGATGCTTCCTAATCATCTATCGTAAAAAAATGAATAAAAATCTTATTCCCCGTCCATTTTGACGGGCTTTCTACTAGTTTAATTAATTAATTATTATTTAATTATGATTTAATATCTATTTCTCTTTTGAAGTTTTTCAATAGATTTCCCCGGACATTATTCTATTCTAATCATGTTGAATATTTTGCAAAATTCATTAAAAAATTGACATGTTTTATTATTTTAATCGTATCTAATGAACAATACAAAGTATGATAATTTTTTATTTAAATAAATTTATATATCTATTATTAAGGCTTTTTTTACAACCTGTCATTTTGTCTGGCCGAACGATGCTCTATTAACCCTGTTGATTATTTTATATAACTCTCAAAAAAAATATATAGTACAATTAATTTAGATACTATTTTATAGGATTTTATAACTATTCCAAAAAAATGATATATAGCACAATATTTTTTTTAATTAATTAAAATAATATATCTATTCTTAAGAATCCTATTTTTTTTAATAATACTCCTTTTTATTACTGCTATTTTGTATAACTCAATAAAAAAGACTATAACTAATAATTTATAGGAAGAAACTTATTTTATTTTATTAACTGAAAAATTATATCTTTTTACACTGTATATATACAATAATATTGTATACAAATTAAGTTAGTTAAAAAATAAGTTTTTACATATCAAAAAAAGAAAAGTATAATAAGGTCATATAAATCTATTTCAAAAAACGAAAAAGAAAGAATGAATACGAAAAGGTCGTCCGAGACTTATTTGTCAAAGGTCATTTAAATTATTTTACAAAAAGAAAAAGAAAGAAAAAATACAAAAAGTTTTAACATTCAAAACATCTTTAACAATAACTATTTTCTATTTTTATTATTTAAATAGAATTTTACTCTTTTACAAAAAAACAAAACATAGTAGATATTTTTATTATTTAAATATTATTCTATATCTATTCCAAGGATCCCTTTATTTTTGAAGTTTGTCAATTGCTCTCCGAATAATATTTTATTCATGTTGATTATTAAAATTCATGGTTTACTATTGTTATTATTTAAGTCGGATCGAAAGAAATTGGTATCTCTGCACAATCCCCTCTATTTTATTTTGCACAAATCAGAAAAGGACGATATGTGGTATGCTCTATTTATTATTTAATTTAAATACCCTACCTTATAAAAATATATGAGAATTGGTTCCCCTAAACTATATTCGTCTTTATTCGCTATATATTTACCATTTGAATAATAGTAAATATATCTATTATTTTTATTTATCATTGTTCCTGCACAATAAATAAGCTACAGATAATACGCTCATTTATATTATGGCGATACATTATTTATTTTTTAATTACCTACTCTACTCTATACCTATATTATATTTTAATTTTTTATAACTTTGATGTGTGATTCATCGTTATTTGTCACTCACCACTATTTGTGATTCATGGCTATCTCTGATTTCGTGCCATTTGTGATTCCCATGCTACATTCTTCCCGGCTGAAGGCTGGGCTCTGGCAACGCCCGAGTTAATAATAATATCCATATTAGTGAACCCTCAAATTATTCTGCCAATAATTTGGAAACATCCAAATTGTTCAAATGATTCTATTGATCATTATAATATAAAGGATAACCAAAAGATCTTCTAGTATATTAACTCGTTCTCTTCAAAAATAATAGTAAATAAAAAGTTATAAGAAGATATTATAATGTTAGAAGATTTTATTTAAGAAAATTAAATAGGTTGAAAATGAAAGTTAATGAGGTTATTAAAAAAAACAAAGAAAATGATGAGTGTATAGGTGTTAAATACAATTTGGAGGGGAAATATTAGAAGTAATTGAGAAATTTCTTAGTAAGATTAAATGTCTACGAAAATGGGAAAACGAGAACAGGACTTTAAAAAATGTTAAGTTATAATAACCATTTAATTCTAAAGAAAAAAATTGATGAATTTACTTATAGATCCAAGATGAATTGTGGTATTGAAAATGGATTGGAAATTAAGAATTTAAAATAATGAAAGTGATTTATGTACGATAATTTATGAATTCAAAATATATAAAAAAAATGAAAGTGATTTATCTACCATATATAAAAGAAGTTTTTTAAAATCTATCAAATCAAAATTTAAGAAAGGAAAAATTTGGGGAAGAAAAACATAGAAAATCGTTGATTATTGATACTATCGGAAAATTCATAGAATAATAAATTCAAAATATATAAAAAAAATAACTAATTAAATATTTTAAAAATTAATAAAGTAGTTATTCTCAACAACTATATGTGGTATCAAAAAAGGATGATACGAAATATAAATTAACTGTGAAGTTTAAAGGTAGGACTTATTAAAACAAAGATCATGGTGAACACACCTAACCGGTATGAACGTGTAATGAGTAGGCCTAAAAACTATTTAGGGAACAAGGTTAAGTGAATTTAGAATTGATGGGTAAACGGAAAAGAAAAAAATAAAACTCATATGGATTCACAAAGTTAAATCCAACATCTAAGACAAATATCATAGTGAACAGACTTAATTGGTATGAACGTATGATGAGAAGGCCTAAAAACTATATAGGAAACAAGGTTAAGAGTTTAGAATTGATGGGGAAACGAAAGAGAACAAACTAAAACTCACTTACAAAGTTAAATCACTAAATATAAATTATAGAATGGATTACATGAATAATATTATATGGGAAAAGTTAGAAGTAACTTACCACCTGAAGTGAAACCTTAAAAAAAAAATTGTTTTTTTCGGCTATATATGAACATATGTTTTTTAAATTTCCCGCCAATTATTTTTACGGTTTTTAAAATATTTTTCAATTATTTACCGAGCAGCAATCTTATATTGTTCTGTTTTAAGATTTAAAGATTCGTGCAATTAATTCCATTATCCACTTGAAATATGGGAGTAAGAGGGTTTGGCTCATATTTAAAACACAACTCATTATCACTTAATGAAATTATTTTAAAAAATGATAAATTGATAATTGATGGATCCAATCTACTTCATTTTCTATATTTTTCAAATTCTATTAATTCTCATTTTAATGGCGAATATAGCAGTTATAAATTAGTGGTTATAAGATTTTTTGCTATATTACATTATAATAAAATAATACCTTATGTTATACTAGATGGTTGTTCTGATCCTTATAATCATAAAACAGAAACTAGACTTCAAAGGCAAAAAGTAAGATTGCAAAAATCTTTAAAACCTCTACATGGCAACACATTTATATTACCAATTCTTTGTGAAGTTATATTTATTGAAATTTTGAAGGAACTTAATATACCTCATTATCAATGCCTTTTTGAAGCTGATAAGGAAATTGCTGAACTTGCTAATTATTGGAATTGTGCAGTTTTGAGTGAGGATAGTGATTTTTATATTTATCCACTGACTCATGGCTATATTCCACTTTCAAGTATAAGCTTTATTAAATATTGGTATCAAGATATCCTTAATGAAAATTTAGTTTTCTACCCCTTTAAAGCAAACATATTTCGTCAAAAATTGTTATTATCTGAATACCCAGGATTAAAATTAGAGTTATTACCATTATTGGCTGCCATAAATGGAAATGACTATTCTCATGATGATTATACATCATTTTTGGAAAATATTGGTTTTAATTACAAACTAAATGACAAAAGGTATCAATCACGTATTAAATGTGTACTGTTATGGTTATCAAACTTTAAAACTATTGATTCAGCTCTAGAAAACGTTTTATCTCATTTCGAACTTAATCTTAAAATTAAAAGTCAAATTTGTACTTCAATTGAAATATATCATTTATCAAATGAAAGTTTAGTGTCTTGTTTCTTTTCACATAAAGCTATAACTATTATTAAATGTGAATATCCAGATGTATTCAAATATAATTGTTTACAAAAATTTTATCACATGAATGATAATATTCAATATAATTGTACCAATTGTCATGTCTTAAATCCAGAGTTTATCAAGTTAGTGAAGGAAAGGCTGTTTGATCAAAATGATATAAATTTTGGATCTAATTCTCATAAAGTTTTGTTATACCTTCAAAATGAATTTCATGAAGTGAATTATAATTACCAATTATTGAATCTATTATTTAAAAGGACCTTACATCTATCTACTCAAGTTGAAAACTATCATGATGAATCATCATATAATATAAGTCAAGATATCCGTAAACTTGTATATATAATTTTTTTGGGGAAAATTTTACAGCCTTCAACTAATGCCAAGAGCAATTTGAGCTTATCAATATACGAGTATAAAAGAAAGTTGGGGAATATGTTTTTTGATGATATAGAAGTAAAACCATATGGGAATTTCCTCAACTCTTCTGCACCAATAAATAACCAAATGACTTTACCAGAAGATCTGTTTACCTTTATTATTTTTAAATCTTTCGGAATAGACCATGATGCATTTAATATCATATCCCAAGATTTCAAATTATTTCTGATCAGTTTAAAATATTTTCATGCCACATCTTGTCAAAAATATGATCCTACCAATACATCGGCTGCCCCCTTCAACTTAGAATGTCATACATTTCCTAGCTCCTCACATATCTTTATAACCATAGCCTTGATATTAATGTTATTACCCCCTCTTCTTAAAAGTACTCAGTGTTTAACCCGTTATTCTAAGGAAGAAATCAAAAATTTTCATGAGCAACAGGCAAAATTTATGTCCAAGTATAAACAAATTCATAAATTCACAATAAATTCTCAACGCTGCAAAAGCATGGATATGGAGTTAATTCATGGTATAGCCCAATGGCAAACGTGCCTTTATGCATTATATTTACTCAATCAAATATCCAATTTTGCATTTAATTCTCACTCAACTTTGATACCATTTTTAGCATTTATAAATTCTTCCCAGATTTATAATTTAGCAAAACAATTTAAAAATTTGAACTATACAAATAAAAATTTGCTGAATGATGATCGAAATGTTCCTAATCCTGTTTTAGGGTTTCTAAGGACAGAATTGTTCAAGGCCGACAATGAGATATATAAATTTTTTACGAATCTTTTACGATGTATAGTTATTTAGAAAAGATATTTTACACTTTTCTATATGTTTTTTTAAATTTTTATATATAACGTTATATTTTTTATAGGATTTTATTTGAACTTGTTTTAAATTCGTTTTTAATAAAAAAAAATCGCATTCTTAAAACAGTAACGAAGCTTCCTTAGAAGCAAGGGTAACATTGCTTCCCTTGGAATTTTTCCTACAAAGTTTTTAAATAAATTTAATATAATCTTTATAATATGTTTAAAAAAATAATCTGACTTGTTAAAAAATTAATATAATTTTTATAACGTTAAAAATATTAATATTATTTTTACTACGTTAATAAGAATTATTATTATATATGCGTTAAAAAATATTATCTTACTACGTTAAAAAAATATATACATGAGGGAAGCAAATTTATTATTGCTTATTTTTTTTAATAAATAAAGAGAAAATCATGCCATGTACATTTTACATTTAAAAAAATATACATTGGGGAAGCAAATTAAAAAATGCTTATCTTTTTTAATAAATAGAAAAAAAATTTTTATATTATATTTTTTTCCTTACTTTTTTTAATAAAAAATTTTTCTTTTTTTGCAATAATTAATGCATAATAATTATTGAAAATTTATTAAGATTATTATAGTTTTCTGAAGATTGGATTTGGATATAATATTCGGAGAAAGATAAACATCAAATTAATTTTAATAAAGAATAAAATTTATTCATTGAAAATACAAATCTCAATCTTTTTATAATGAAATTTGTAACTAATATAATTCATCCACAATTAGAATTAGTGTAGTTCAATAAAAAAGAAAAACAATTTAAACTTTAAATGTCATTACAAAAACAAGTAAAGGTGAATTATAAATAAAAAAACAATTAAAACTACTTAACATTTCATTCTTTCTTTTTTTTAAAAGTTTTGCCCTCTATCTATCATCTTATCGTTTGTTCTTATCGGTTTCTTCATCATTTATTGCTCGTTTGTCCTTTGTCGATCATTGAGAGTTATCGTTAGTCATCACTAGTATATTTCATTAGTTTTGATCAAAGAAAATCTTGTTTATATAGTATAAGCTATTTAAAGTTTATTTTAAATTTAAAAATTATTTATAACAAAAAAATAGATATTTTATTATTTATTATATATATCTATTTTAATCTTTTTTTATATTATGAAATTTTAGAATTTTTTAGGCAATATTATATTTCAGATAGGTCTTTGACTGTTAAGACTCTTGTACTTGTATACTTTGATTTCTTACTGGTTCATCATCACTTCTTTTCCTTCTAAAATTTAAAGTATAAGGTATTGTATTATTAACATATGTTTTCAAATCTGTTGTACCATTATTAAGAGGTATAATATTCGTTGACCTTTTTTTAATCTGGTCTAAATGTCTTTTTATAATTTTGTTTCCAGTATCTATTTCATATGATAAATTCCAATCTTTACATGTTACCCTACCTTTGACCCAAATGTTTTCCTTGAAAGTTTTATACCAAACTTTGTCACGCATCACAATATTTCTATTTGACGATATATTTTGACTAAATTCATTCACTTTATCATCTTGTGATTTAATTAAATCCCATCTGGTTCTTATAGTTCTGGAAAACATCACTTCGCTTGGTATTTGTTGATTGTTGCGTTTGGTGTGTTACGATAACTATATAAGATATTTTCTAAAGAAGTCTATTTTATTATTAATTTCCATATTCCTTTTTATGCTTATTTTCATTGATCTTCAGGGACCGGAGTGAACCGTAAAGAACAGTTAAACCATTATAAATCGTTATAAATATCTGAACCATCTATTTAAATAACAAAAAAGCCATTAAACACTAATGAAACTTTTATGCAAATTAAATATATATATATTTTTTATTGACATATAAATTTAGGCTAATTTTTTTAAAAAATAATGAGGTATGTTGTGTATTTGATAAAAGAGCAAATCCTTGTTGACATTTTTATTTTTGATGGAAAAAGCGACAAAATAAATCTGAAGATTGTCTGGAAAGGAAATAATTGATGTACAATTTCATATCATTTAGGGTTATAGATGAAAGTAATGACGGGTTACCAAAGCAGTGTACAAAACACAATATGTCCTGATAAATTTGAGTCATATGCCTATGCCTTGGGATACTGGTAAAAGAAGAACGCAAAATGATATTTCTATCAATGTCAGCATTGGTAGCCCCCTCTAAAATAGAATCATGAACGACAATGTTAACTGAACCTTAAAAAGGTAGTAAGAATTGTTATAAAGGCCACGAAAGAACTACTGCATATTTTTCCATTAATAAAGTTGATGAAAATGGCCGTACTGCACAATCAAGTTTGAACATTCCTCTAAATATTCATGAATGAAAGTTTCTCAGAGAATCCGATAAAGTAATATTTATAATAACTCCTAGTGAAGTGAATGATAGTACGGAATTGAATGCTTATATATGTTAAAAAAATAGGCAGAGGTGGCATAGGGAATGTGGTAGTAGTGATAGAAATATCATTTGGAGGCAACTGGGTGAAAATAAAATAAACATATAAATATGAAACATAAGATAAAAAAAAAAAATAAACCTCCAGAGGAGTTAGTTTCAAGCGTAGTTTTTTATTATTTTAGCTACCAGTAACTCTAGAACTGGCAAGGCGTTTGTTTATTCGTCATTATTTTCTTTGCTTATCTTTAATAGATTCATCAAGTTTTGTAGCATTGTGAGGGATTAAGGTTGGGTTAGCCTAGACAAATAAAGAAATCAGGCAAAAATATAAATAAACATTATTATTGAAATAAAACGAACATTAAAATTCTGTAAACCAGTAGATGGGTCAATATTAGATGCATATATCTAGTAGATGGAAGGATATCATCAAAAAAAAATTTTTTTTTGGGTAGGGGGGAGGGTGGCTTATCAAGCCTATTATAATATTCTAAAGGTATATTTTGCATTTGTGCATTATTAATAGCTGTTATATCAATATTTGAACAATTATAAAGAGGAAATAAGATGGGGATAGTTTTATAAAGTAAATATAAAATAATTCTCAAGTTAAATTTATAAGGTAGGAATAGAATAAAATACCATTCGTAGAGATCAATTGGCAAATTTTTTTAAAAAATAGGATCCTTGTGAATAAGTATAGAATAATTTAAATAATATATAAATACCGTAATATGTATTTTTTTTTGAATAAATATAAAATCATAAAAATGAAAAATAGAAAATAGAAAACCCCGTTTAGTATTTTTTATTGAAAGAATAAAAAGGAGTATTGTTAAAAAAGGTAGGAACTGTAAGAATAAATATATAATTTTAATTGAATAAAAATAAATATAGTATTATATAATGATTTTTTAGAATAGATATAAAATTATATATAAAAATAATATACTATGTATATTATTTCGAGCATTATACATAATAATCAGCAGGAATAATAGAGCAATGGTGGATCCAACAAAATGGTAAGCTTTTAAAAAAGTAGGACAAAGATTGTTATATTAATTTAGTTAAATCTTAAAAATGTACTTTGTTTAATTTTCAGTTAGACAAAATATTCATCAGAGATAAAAGGGTATGCGGCCCGAGAAATGGATAGCTTAGGTTCAACTCCCTAGAAATAGTAGGAACATCATCAGAAGCTAAAATAGATGTATTCTAATAAAAAAGTATTAAAAAAAATATATACATATATAAGGCTAACTTTATTTTGCGTTGTTAGTAGATTTTGTATGGCCTCACTATCCCTGGAGCGTTTCTTTTTTTGATTGACCTGCCATCTTTTTCTTTTATTAGTGACAGATAAATCACCACCTGTACAATCATTAAGTGAGGTTAGGACATGGCTTGTTATCTAAAATAAAAACAAAAGAATAATTAAAAAACATATTAATATATTAAACCTTAAGAGGAGTCAATATTAGGTTAACCTCTCTAGAAATAGTGGGAAGGAATACCATCCATCAGAAGCTAAAATAGATGTATTCTAAAATGAAAAGTATAAGCATTTTTAGTATATATAGATGAATAACTTTATTTTGCATTTGGTAGATTTTATTGGGCTTCACGTCATATGACCCAGTATAATTTTTTTGCTTGAATTGAATTAAGAATTGAATGATTGATAAGCCCAGCTTTCGGCTGGAGTGTGTAGCCTAAGGTAGGGAAATAAGAGAAAATTAAATGGAAAGAAAATAGGGAAATTAAAAGGGAAAGGAAGGTAAAGGAAGGTAAAGGAAGGTAAAAATAAAGAAAATTAAAAAGTGAAGATAGGAAAGGGAAATGACAAGAAAGGGGAAGATAATAAAAGAAATTAAAAGGGAAAGAAAGGAAAAGAGAATTTTAGTATTTTTTAAATTTTGATTTTTCCCATATTATTTGAGACTGTTGTATGTTAGTGATATCTTTAGTAGGGATACATATGTTGTCGGCATAGCATAATCAGTCTACATTTTGTATGTTACTGAAAACTATTCTTTGAGTTAAAATATATATTTTATAAAAATATTTACATAAGACTAACAAACATTTAACATTAAAAAATCCAAATCTAGGTTCAAACCTACAATATCTGGAAAAAAATATCCGAGCATCCAAGATCTTAATAATTTAAAAAGATTTTCTCAAGCCCACCTCAATCCCTAATAATTTTGAAACCAAGCCCAGAGATATTAAATTTATAATTAATGAAGGGGAAATCTCTGATTTACCAATTAGTCTACGAATAAAATATATTACTTTATGATAATAATAACATAAGACTAACATTTAACATTAAAAAATCTCAATATAGGTTCAAGCCTACAATATTTCGAAAAAATTTCCAAGCATCCAAGATCTTAATAATTTAAAAAGATTTTCTCAAGCCCATTTCAATCCCTAATAATTTTTGAAAACCAAGCCATTATTAATTTTGATATATATTTTTTAAGCCAAGTCCAACCCATAATAATTTTGAAAAAATTTTCCCAAGCCTAGAGATATTAAATTTATTGAATTAACTCAGTTATGAA